AAGAAGAAGAAGAAGAAGAAGAAGAAGAAGAAGAAGAAGAAGAAGAAGAAGAAGAAGAAGAAGAAGAAGAAGAGGAAGAGGAAGAGGAAGAAGAAGAAGAAGAGGAAGAGGAAGAGGAAGAGGAAGAGGAAGAGGAAGAGGAAGAAGAGGAAGAAGAAGAGGAAGAAGAAGAGGAGGAGGAGGAGGAGGAAGTGGAGGAGGAGCAGCAGCAGCAGCAGACAAGTGCGGAAGATGCCCACACAAAAGGGAGCATCAGCTTATCCCTAGTCTCTAGGTGACAATTTCGTCATTCAACAGTGACTGGTAGGGTGGGCTGGGAGACATGGGTGAGAATTCTGAGAGGCGTGACTTGGATCGAGGCACAATGCATTCATAAACTACTTCATTGAATGACAACTTTGTACAACTACTTAAAGATAATTTTCTTACAAGGCGAGAACTCAGTACTATGAGAAGTGACCCAGTCATGAGAGAAAGCCATAGTCCCTCTTAATGCCCCCATCAACTTATAAAGACCCAACCTCTGACCCCGCTACATAGTATGTCAACTTGAGTTTCATATTGAACGATATTCAAATCACACCAAGCAGATTTCTAAGAATATCTGCTGAATGAGCAAATGGATGGATGGTTGAATTCTCTAGTACTTGAGTACTTGAGTGTCTCTTATACAAGCCAGTTTGGTATCCCAAACAATGCTTGCTCTCAGTTTGTTTTGTTTCATTGAAGAATGCTTTATGGAAGTAGCCACTTTCATAAATCAGCTACTTATGTTTCCATTTCTTACTCTCAAATCCTTCTCCTTTAATTATTCTCAACTGCTCTTATACAACAGAGGTTTGGAAGTTTTTCCTCTTCATGTATACTTCAGAGAAGCATTCTTCTTTTTCTTCTCCTCCTCCACCCCCCCTTTTTTTAGCTTATGGTTAATGATCAGATTCCTCTAACTGCTCTTTAGAAAGCACGAAGCATGGGTTCTCAATCACTATGAACAAATACTCTGCCATCCTACTTTGAAAAATACGTATAATTAAAATTCATGGTTGAAAGAATTTCTAAAGTGGCAAGTTGCTTTTCTAAGATATTACCATGTCTTATTTTAGAATTTACATTCAGTAACTAATCTACATTATGAAATGAGATCCAGTTCATTGGAGTTCCTGAATAATTACTGTGTGGATACCGAGTGCTTTCTGCTTGCAGGAAAAGTTGCCTCAGCTACTTGAAAAGTGATTTAAAAAATATTTTGTTCTAGACTCAATTTAGAACTAGAATAACACCACAAATACAATCAATTTTCATTGGATAATTTTAAAACATGTAATGCAATACATAATAAATACGATTTATCCCTTCTGAAGGCACCTCGAAAGACAAGCTTTCCCCAAAGATTATGATACAGAGAATACGGACCAAGTAATAAACTTGTGTAAATCCTCATATCATCGACTCGGAACGGAGGAGCCTCCTGTAAGTAGCTGTTGTTAATTTCTGTAAGTCTGGACACTTTGGTGTAGTCATGCAAGTAAGAACCAAGAGGAACATGTGTTTAGCACTGCCATCTTTACTTTGGTGAGTTACTTTGGCAGGTGCTTTAGCTGGTGTGTCCTTCACCAACCCTCCCTGTAAAACGCACCTGACTTTCTTTTGTTATTGGGGAGATGTAAAGCAAACACAAAGTGCTCAACGGCGTGCCTGGCTGTATTAGTTAGCTTTTTATTGCTAGAATGAAATACCCGACGCAGGCTTGCAGTCGAGAGAGATTTGTTTTGGCTGGTGTTGTGGGAGGTCAAAATTCAAAATCACGTGGTCCTCTTGGTTTGTGTGTCTGGGGAGGGAGATTGTTGGGATGAGCAGCCGTACCTTGATTGTGGGGAGCAGAGGGAGACTGTGGGAACAGATGTGCTTATGAGAGCACATCCCAGTGAACTCACTCAGGACCCTATCTCTTACATTTCCCCATGTTACCCATTCTGGAGACCAAACCTCTATCACATAAGCCTTTTATAAGGTAAATTCAACACCCAAACTAGAGTGCAGGCATACAGTAGGTGCTCAAGGAATTGCTATTATTTTTGTGCTGCTGTGCTGGCCTGGGAAATCATTATTACTGAGTGGGGGTGGGGACGTTCACTTCTTGACCTGAGATTATTGCTCCTATCTTGGAAATGAGAGGCCATCTCCGGGGTTAGTCAGAGGGTGTTAGTCATAGATCTGCAGGATTCACTGTTCTGGAATTTGAGTTAAGCAAGGAAGTCTGGGACCCAAGAACAGACCAGAGAGAAGCAAAGGGCGATTTTAAAAAAGCCCTGTAACATTGCTTTATCCGGGAGAAGAGAAAGCTTGCCTGCTTCCAGCAAGCCGCCGTTGTGAGTCTTCAGGAAGAGAATTATCAGAAACAATTGCACAAGTGCCTAAGAGGAGAGGAGTCTCTTATTTTGAATGTCCTCCAAGCTCTAAGACACTAGTGACAGTTAAGAGAGTATGAGCCAGCTTACCATCAAGCCTTTCACCCCTCTTTCCCCATCAGCCAGACCTGGCAAGAGTTCAGCGGTAGAAAAGCAGCAGCAAGGGAAACAGCAGCATCTAAGCAAAACTCAACTCACTGTAGGCTCCCAGGTCTAAAGTAGCACCGATCCAGGAACAGGGAAACATATATGCAAGACAAAAACTTATCACTAGACTGGGAATGTTTTTTAAGTAGAATGAGGTCCTTCTTGAAGTTTGAGAGGCTGAGAAAAGCTGTGAGATCAGCCTACAATCTCTTTCCCTCCAGAGGAAGGAAAGAACTAGCTGTGCATGAGCTAGTGGAATGGACAGTTTAGTTAAGATTAACTTGCTTCCTGATTGTATTGTGTTGATACAGTGTTGCTCTATTCAGTAAGATGGCTACTTTAACGTTACCTCATTTCATTCTCTAGTACCATGAATAAAGAAATTGAGATCATGTGAAGTTGAAACAAAAACTATGAAAGTCAGAGGTTATGATCTAAGATCTTGAATCCTTTCACAAAATATCTCTTGGAGGATCAAACTTCTCTGTCACTAGTGCCATGGTTTTTCTTTTCTGCCAGCCCTGGGGCTTGAACTCAGGACCTGGGCACTGTCCCTGGGCTTCTTCAGCTCAAAGCTAACATTCTACCACTTGAGCCATAACACCACGTCTGGCTTTTTCTGTTTATGTAGTACTGAGGAATCGAACCCAGGGCTTCATGCATGCTAGGCAAGCACTCTACCAGTAAGCCACATCCTGGGTTTTTCTTTTTTTCTTTTCAGAGCTGAGGACCAAATTCAGCACTTGCCTGACAAGTGCTCTTCCACTGAGGTAAATGTCCAACCCTTGCCATGGCTCTTTTACTCTCCTACAATGCATCCTGATTAGGTTTTGGTCTGACTTGGGAATAGTCTGTATCTCACTGTATACGTGTTGGGTCTTTGATCTCCTACATCTTAGCTACAACTTTTGTCTTGCTCATGAATTATATCCACACATATGCTAGCTAACCCTTCCTATCTGCTCCCTTTTGTGAATGGCCTTCTTACCCTTTCTAGTTCTCTTAAGACCGCTGCTGATTTGTGCTGCTTATATCTACTAGTGATTCTGGTTAGCTGATTGAAGGTCTCTTGGCACTTAGATTGTGCTACAAAAGTTAATGTGGACATCATTTTTTTTTTGGTGACAGTATTTAAAACAGCATTATCTGTGCTTACATTAGGGCTAAGTTTCCAAAAGGTCAAGAATGTAACAGTAGTTTCACAAGCCAAAGTGAAGTATTAGGTTACTTATGGGAGAATTCCAAATAAGATAGTGCCATTAGGCCCACATTCACCTGAAGAGGATTGAAGCATAAGGAGAAGTTAAGAGTCACGCTGAAAGTCAAATTAGGAGATTTGAATCCAGTCAAAAACATCCTGTATCATGGGAATGGCCATTGCTTTTCCCAGATAGGACCTTGAAGTCTACTAGAGGGGAAACTAAGAAGTCAGCTTCAAATATCTATGTGTCAGAAAGGTCAAATATAGACATAACTAGAAGAGCCAGCCTCTCCTGCATTGCATTTACCTCTTTCCTTATATCCTGGTACTCATCACATCATCCTCCAAGAGGACAAAGGGAATTAGAAGAGTAGAGAAGAATACCAAGACAGTTGAGAAGAAGCCAATTATACACGTGCCCTTCCCCCTTCTCCCAGTAAGAAAGGTCAAAGCAAACCCAGGTGGGTGGAGGAGTGAGATTCTTCAACTTTAAAAATGTTTGAAGTTTCGACTGTTGCATTGGATTGGCTATTTTATTTACTGTAGTAAGACCCCTGGGAGAGAAACAGCTGAAGAATGTTTATAATATCCCAGAGTAACCAGAAAAAAAATCCCGGGGCTTATATTTCACTGAGCATGAGAAAAGTCCAGCCCCTCCAAGTGACAAAGGATAGGCAGGGATGGAGGAAGGGGATAGGAAGAGATGGCAGAGGAAAGTGAGCAGGGATGGAGGAAGAATGGGTTTGTTTGGTGACTCTCTATACTCACAGCTTCCACTTGTTCAATGCCCCAGTTATCTACTTGTCTATAAAAGAGACACTCATTCTTATTTTCCCTTTCCTTAGTTTTCTTCATGTCACTTAAATCACTGGACACATTGTCACAAACGAAGGGACTTTGTTTCCTATCACATCACTATTTTGTAGAACCTAGCACTGCTTAATAGGTGTTTGCAAAAGAAAGGCAGGAAGGCTTTTTAAAGCAGGTACATTGGATAAGAAGGATTTAAATCACGTTATCTTAGGCCAGTGTGCACAAACATATGTCTGTATTCTTCACCTTCAGTGTCTATTTACATATTGCTTTGTGGAAATATTTCTTTATGCTTGGATAATAGCCTGAGCAGGTTATCATTCTTTTTATAGTAATTATTAGATAATTGAGAAGTGTATTTGGTCATATTTCCATAACAGTATTTTACCAACATGAGGGATTTCACTTAAAGCTAAATCTTTTCTCCCTCATCCTTAAACTACAGCCTCCTCTAATTCTGGGGAAGAAAGCTGAGGGGAGGAAGGAGGCAAAACTGGCTGATTTTCTGTTTTTCTACTTGCTCTAATCTTCCCTTCCCTCAGACAACTGGACAACCAGAGAGGCCTTTTTTTGTGATTATCTGACTACTATTAATTACTTGACAAAGACTGTTTCTGTGGCCAAAGAAATGGTTTTATTAGCTGATAGAACACAACTAAGAAATTTGTTCAAGATTTACTTCTCCTAAGGATATGAAATAAGCGTGTTGTAAAAGCTGTAACAGGTGACAAAGGATTAAAATTGTTTTCTGATGATAGTCTGAGTCTCATTTGATCAAAAAAGTACTGGTTCTATTTTGGGGGATCACTCTGGGATCTTTTGGATTCTGTAAATAAATGTAGATGTGAAAACAGCCAGGAGCTCAGACATCACTAGTATTGAGAAATAATGGCCTTTATGGTGATTTTCTTAACATTAAAAACTCTGTGTGTGTGTGTGTGTGTGTTTGTATGTTTTCTAGGGTTTGAACGCAGTTTTTTGTTGTTGTTGTTTAAGACTAGTGCTTTACCACTTGAGCTTTTTGGTGGTTAGAGATAAATGTTTCAAAGACTTTCTAGTTCAAGGTGACTTTGAACTGTGATCCTCAGATCTCAGGCTCCAGAGTAGCTAGGATTGCAGATGTGAGTCGGTCGCTGATGTCTAGCAGCAAAATCTTGGTATCACTCATTTGTGAAGAGGATGGTGATGATGATGATCATGATGATGATGATGATAATGGTGGTGGTGGTAATGATTTTGGGGGGTGGATCTTGAAAAAAATCTCATGGTAGGAGATTGACAGGTTAAAATATGTAGCCTCCTTTCTTCCCTTCCTTCCTTCCTCCTTCCTTCTTGCCTGCCTGTCTTCCTGCTTTCCTTCCTTCTTCCTGCTTTCCTTCCTTCCTTCCTTCCTTCCTTCCTTTCTTCCTTCCTCCCTCCCTTCCTTCCTTCTTTGCTTCCTACCTTCCTTCCTTCCTTCTTTCCTTCCTTCCTTTTTCCTTCCTTCTTTCCTTCCTTCCTTTTTTCCTTCCTATCTTCCTTCCTTCTTTCCTTCCTTCCTTTTTTCCTTCCTATCTTCCTTCCTTCTTTCTTTCTTCCTTCCTCCCTCCCTTCCTTCCTTCTTTGCTTCCTACCTTCCTTCCTTCCTTCCTTTTTTCCTTCCTATCTTCCTTCCTTCTTTCCTTCCTTCCTTTTTTCCTTCCTATCTTCCTTCCTTCTTTCCTTCCTTCCTTTTTCCTTCCTTCCTTTTTCCTTCCTATCTTCCTTCCTTCTTTCCTTATAAGGAGCTTTGAACTCAGGGTTTTATGCTTGTTAGACTAGTGCTCTACCACTTGAGTCACACATCCTTTCCAGCATCTTGCTGTTGTTACAGGTAAAATGTCACAGATTCTTCTGCCTAGGGTTGGCTTCAAATCTGCATC